GGGGGGGGGGGGGCCCGGCTGTACAGCGAAAGCACAAGGCCGCTGAGAAGCCACTGCCATGTTGGGTCAATACCCTGATGCCCGGATGGTGCTCACTTTGCAGCCATGCGTCAGGCAAAGAGGTCCCCAAGGCTACGAAAGTAATGGCCGTGATCTCCGGCCCGATGTTCCTCGCGATGGCTGTCTGCACCCGAAGTTTGCTGAAGTCGCTGGAGACTGGCTAAGAAAAACCATGGATTGCCAGCAACAGCTGCGACTTGGGAGTATCACAGACAATGCAGGTAAGCGACAGTGTGCAGCCCACGAGGTTGGCCAGGTCGCCAACCACTGCAGTCAACACAGCCTGAGGAGTATGGCGCTGCACATCAACGACAGGTGCCGGAAAGGGAAGACCGGCTTCTGTTCACCATCTTCTTGCGGTCAGCGCACTATCATGCCAAGGGCCACGAAAAAGCAGCACCAGCCTCGCATCCACATGGCAGAATGAGGCGTGTGCACTAAAACGCCCTGCTTTGCCGCTAGCAGTGGCAAGTGCCACCCCACGCAACCCCCCAAAGGTCTCTCCCCGTTGCATCGTGACAGTCCCCCCTGACCATTAAGATTCGACTGTGAAATATGGCCTTCGAGCCTACGGCCAGCAAGTTTCGGATTCTCTGTACATGTCGACTTCCAGAAGCAGCCAAGATTGAAGTCATTGAATCAGCTATGCTTTCAACTTGGTATGGTCCCTTAGGGTGACGCAAAGCGAAAGTGGTCAGGCGAAGAGCAGGGGCGTTTGGTTGGGGCCGGTGGTCGGCGGCACCAAGCCTTTTCCGGGGCTCATTGCCGAGCGGGTCTTGGGGCAGCCTTGGTGTCAGCATTATTCGCAGCACTGCTGGCGGTGTTTACACTGTTTCTCTCTGCTGCCGCAAAATCATGAGCATCAGTTGGGCTTACATCGGTGGCCGGGAAGGTCTTGTTGCTTTTTGTTGCTTTCTTCCTGTGCGTAGCTTCTGCAAGGGCCAATGCTACGCCAATGATTCGCATGATGCTGCCCGTTACGGCCGGGCATCATGAGCATGATTGGGTCTGTGCTTGTCGTCTTGGGGCCCCATGTCTGGTCCTGGACCAAGCACTTTTTGCAGTACATGGTTGCACCGCAAACGAACGCGGATGCTGAATGGCAAACCCGCAGCGGTGTGCAAACATGTGCAAGACCTAATCGCTGAGAGTTGGGAGTGCAACGCGCGAGTGGCAAACGGTGAAGCCGAGAACAAGCCTAGCAAACCCGAAACCCACGAAGGGATGAACATGTCAGACCAAAAGCTTCAGAATGAACTGGCGTAGTCAAGCATAAGATGCTGCCAGGAGCTGTGAATGGCAAACCTAAATCTTGGAAAAGGGAAAGCAAAGCATGCTGGCACGGAAGACTGTTCAAACGTTGCGAGGGTCCGGCACGTAAAACGAAAGCAAAGCGGCAAACAGAATCCAGGGGGGGTAGCACCCTCAGACCCTCAGCGGTCGTATTTGCAGACCTCTCCCACTATTCTATCACCTTCGCGTCAGCAGCTTCTACACTGCGGGTCGTCCGGCGATAAACCTACGCGTTTGCATGTGTTCGTCCAAGATCTAAGGGACTGAAACAACCCTCCGACCCGTCATGTAACCAAACAAAAGGCAAGTGTTTAACCTACATGTTTAAACTTGTTCAAGATCCAGAGCACTTGTACCATACGCCATAGCGGGCTTTGTGGGCCTACAAGGTGGCAACGGAAGGCTACTTGCGGGCTCGTTGAACAGGCTTTGAAGTTGTGGCACTGGGGAACCGTCACAACGTGTGTTTAAAGCAGTGGTTTTAACATATTGCGGATGTGGCACTCCAGGAAACGTTTAAACATGTGTTTCAGCACAGGTTTCAACATGTTCGGAATGTGGGCACTTAAAGAACCGTCTAACCAGGCGTCTAAGCATGGGCGTAAAGATGTTCTGGATGTGTGGCACTCAAGGAACCGTGTAAACATGCTTTAAACAATAGGTTAGATTTCACACATTCAGGATATGTGGCAGCCAGGGGACCGTTTCAACATGCACTGAAAGATTGCAATTGGTTCGAACACACTCGCCACTTGTGGCACTCAAAGAACAGTTTAAACATGCGCTTAAATTTGCCTTAATTAAACACATTCCGGATGTGCGGCACTCCGGGGACGGTTTGAACATGTCCAACGTGTTGAAACATTGGCACAGCTTCATGGCACTCTAGGAACCGTTTCGCCATACGTTTTTGAACATCGGTGTAAAAAACTTCGAAATGTCTGGTGCGCAAAGAAAAGTTTACACTTTAAACATTGGCCTAAAACTGTTCGGGATGTGTGGCCCTCAAGGAACCGCTTGAACTTTGGTTTAAACAAATCTGGGAGTGTGGCACTTAATCAGCCTTTGAACATATTACGGATGTGTAGCACTCATGGAAAAGTTAGGACACCAGCTTAGACATAATGCAAACATTGGTTTAAACATCTTCGCCATGGTTCAGGCTTCACGTGTGGCACTCCAAGAGTTGGCACAAGCGTTGATTAAACGCCCTGCTTGACATGTTTAACCCCATTGCTTAAGCCTCTCGGTGCAACGACACATTTTTTCAATCAAACAAGCACACAGGCATCCATAGACTGGCGAAACACTTTTGAACACGTTCAATGTTTAAACCATTTATATCTAAACGTGTTTCAAACGATCCTGCTGCTACTTGTGCCGCTTGTGCGCATCCGGCGCAGGCAAGAAACCAATGCGTTGGGCGGCAAAAAGCTTTGGACAAAGAGCTCGGATAGGTACGCAAGTGGAAACAAAATGGGCGTGGTGCATGTGGCGACAACGACACACTGCAAGTCCGGTTCGCAGCCGTCCCGGACTGATTGGCTGTTGGAAACTGATTCCATGCCGAGGCACCATTGCAGTAGTCTACAGGTGGAATGAATGCAAAGAGGAGCTTCCAGGGCATGCCTGCAACTGCAAGAATCGGCTTACAAGATGCTCTCTTTGTGCTTCAAAGCACTGGTGTGGCATGCAGGCAGTAGCTTGGATTCTTCGAGAACCTCGCCTAGGAAGTGGATAACCACACCCAGGCAGGAATGGCCACCCTCCTCCTCCTCGGCGCATCAGACATCTTCAACAGCACGCATATCAGCAGCCACGCTTTCAAGCAGGTGCGCGACCATGGCCACCTGGACCGGAAAGCCGTGGTTCATGCGGGCCAGGCATGGCCGCATGGCTGCAGCATCAAAGTAAAGCAGAGATTCGTCATCATCTCTGCTCATGAACACCGCATCTCGAAACTGCTCCTGTGCAGGCAGACTTCCCACTGGATGCGCTTGAGTGTACTTCTCGGAGTTGCCTTCCAATTGGAGTAGCCGAGGGCATGCTTGTTCCAGTTGATCTGGCTAGCCTCGGTTGGCTCTCAGAGTTTGACTGCCCCGCCCTGACCTGCACACAGAACTTGCGTCAAGGAGCGATGCGGTCCAGGGCTGCCTTTCGCTCGTCGTCGGCCTTGATGACAACATGGCAAATGCAACCTCAGATCGCAGAGGCGGCAAACATTCGTACTTTCACAGAAAGACGGAGTGCCAAGAGTGTCTGGGCTTCCTTTCAGCAGCATTCACAGAAATCACCGAACACTTCACCACCAATTCACAAAGCATAGCATGGCAGGCTCTTCAAACATCCGGGTGGCTTGCGGAGCCACCATCGGTGGAACGGTCAAAGCTCGCACCGCCGCTTGGCTCTACCAGGTAGACGTTGAAGGACGACGTATCTTGGAATGAAGCCGGCTGTCACATCAGCCGGGCATCAAGGATCATCAAGGCAAGTGCCCATGCTGTTCGACACAAACATAGTAACTATGCTTTTCCACAGGCAAGGGTCTCTCGTACCGACCCTTGGGCTTGATAGTGATTTCGATTGTTGCCGTCTGCACCTTGGCTGCTGGCTCTTCGAAGTCAAAAGACGACCAGTCACTAGTCGCATTTCGCTGAATACCAGAACGACATGCAGACAAGAAGCCGTATGATCGAAGTACAGAGTCCCAGAAGCCTGTCGAAAGCACCAACATTGGGGAAGCCCAAGCCAACTTGCACTTGAGCCTCGACGTAGTCATAGCCGGCAATGGCTGAGTTGTCTTCTGTGTAGTAGCGGCACTCGATGGCTCCTGCAGTTCCAGCCAGCAACCGGGGCCGCCACTCCCAAACCCACCAAACCCTCCAAACCCGCCTGTCGCACCATTGTAGCGCTCCACGATGATGCGGAGAGTGGTCTCCTGAGGCAACCCGTCGGCACAAAAGACCCCCGTTCGAGGCCATTCGGTCCTCCTCGCGCTCTTTAACCTCCACCTGCTCGTGCCTTACCAAGATAACAGACAGCCAGCAACTTACATTCTCACAGTATCAGCAAAAACAACATCCGAGGCTACATTCCAGGTTGTATTTATTGGCCTCCGGCACACCGGCCGGGTCTCCCAACTCCACCCTTCAGCCCGGACTCCAATTGCCGAGTTCCGCCACAGCTGAAATCGGCATACCCCATCTCGTTGCAGCGGTGCGCTGAGTTGCTACAGGATTCGGTGAGGTGTAGCTTCAGGTTGGAATCACATCTTTGGTGAGAGGCCAGCTGTACCAAGGTATGACGATGAGTCACGAAAGCAATCTCCCTGTCTGTCTGTGTCTGTCTCTGTGGTGTCTCTGTCTGTCTGTCTGTCTG